AAACGCAGCAAGGATAGCGTGGTCTTTATGGTCATTTATGTTGATGACATTCTGATCATAGGGAATGATATCCCCTTATTGAAGTCCGTGAAAGAATGGTTATCCAATATCTTCATGATGAAAGATCTAGGTGAAGCCTGTTATATCCTTGGGATTAAGATCTATAGAGACAGAGTTAACAGGATGTTGGGTCTTTCACAATCCACGTATATTGACAAAATACTACATCGATTTAAAATGGAAGAATCTAAGGAAGGATTCCTCCTGATGGGTCATGGGATATCGTTATCAAAGAAGGATAGTCCTTCAACTGATGATGAGATCAAACGCATGAGAGAGATTCCATATGCTTCTGCAATTGGTTCAATCATGTATGCTATGATCTGTACTAGGCCAGATGTGGCTTATGCACTTAGTATTGTTGGTCGATATCAAAATAATCTAGGAGAATGACATTGGAGTGTTGTTAAGGCTATTCTTAAGTATCTTAGACGAACTAAAGAATATTTCTTGGTTTATGGTGGACAAGAGAAACTAATAGCATCCGGTTACTCTGACGCTAGCTTCATGACAGATAAAGATGACTTTAAGTCTCAATCAGGATATGTTTTTAATCTCAATGGAGCAGCAGTAGACTAGAAGAGTTCCAAGCAAGACACTACAGCTGATTCGACAACAGAAGCCGAGTACATTGCTGCATCAGAAGCAGCTAAAGTGGTCGTATGGATACGTGAATTCCTCAAAGAATTAGGGGTTGTTCCAAATGACAGTCGTCCAATAACCGTTTATTGTGACAATACTGGTGTTGTTGCACAAGCAAAGGAACAAAGATGCGACAAGAGAAATGGACATGTGCCGAGGCGCTATCATGTGATTCGAGAGCAGATAGCAAGATGAGAGGTTGCAATAGAACGTGTTTCCATTGAGGACAATTTGGCTGATCCCTTCACCAAACCTTTGAGCTGCGAGAAACATACTAGACATTTTGAGAATCTAGGTGTTAGACGCATTGGTGATTGGCACTAGGCCAAGTGGGAGATTATTAGTATATATGTCCTAGCGACAATCATTTTTTTTAAATGACATATGTACTTGATCACATTTAGTTTTTATATTTGATGTATACACGGTATTACACTTTATGAATGATTGTTTTTCGATTGTCAATGTTTTATTCATAATTGTGTTCCCTTGGATTTATGTTGTCAATAAGTAAGTGGGAGCTTATATGATATAACATAAGGTCCTAAAATAGCCCCAATCAATGATCATCAAGAATGGGATATTGATGATATGCGATAAGATTGGTATGTGGACTGCATCATACTTTTAGAAAGTATAGTTGATGTCACGACTATGAGTTCCTGTAATTCATGATGGTCACATAGATATTTTAGAGAATATTGACATACCCACCGAGAAACCATTTGATAAGTTCTATTCATGTGTCTATGGGATTATCGGCGTATAGAGTAGTGTAATAGTCCTCCGACTTGAGGTCAATACGTACTACACGTGCGGAGTGATGTACTTTGACCATGACCAACGCTTGCACTCCAATCGGGGTAGATACGGCATGTGTTGGGTGAATCACGAAGCACATGGAGTAGTAGTTGAGCCAAGAAAGGATTCATTCCTCATAATAGATTAAGAGAGAACATTCTACTTCTCATATCTAGATGGATCATAAAGTCATTGGCCAATGCAAAGATATATTCGTTTTGGATATCGAATATGATCGTTATGGATCATCTAGAAAGATTGAGAGATAGAGACTGAGTTATTGGGATAGACACAATATCATGTTCTATACTTAGTTGAATGTTCGTTGAATGAAAGGACCGTATCACTATGAGCTTTATATTACAGGGAGTTTGAATAGTCCTCGCAAACGTCCTTATATATTAAGATTGTCTGGTAAATCATCTAGGGATTCTGCCAAGACCTTAATTTGATTACTGCTTAATATATAAGGCCCTATGGGTCACACAACAAGTGATTATACCCCCCGATTGAATTGTTAGAAGGAATTAAATATTAATTGGATTAAATAATATTTAATTTGTAATACTGAAATGGATTAAATATTAGTTAGATTAAACTATATTTAATTCATGATGTTGAAGGAGAGTTCTATTTGATAGAATAAATTAAGTGTGATAAATTAGATTTATTATACCTAATTAAGGTGTATTTATTATTAAATAAAGTTGGTATTTTCTTTTATTGATTTGGAATTGAAAAGGAAAATAAAATAAACTAAATAATAATAAATAACATATAGAGAGTGGCGTGCAGCCACTTCTCTATTGTTATTTTTATTATTATTATTATTATTATTATTATTATTATTATTATTATTATTATTATTATTATTATTATTATTATTATTATGTTTTATCCAACTTATTTAATTAATAATGATGTATTGGTCCTGGTAGGACTATAACTCATTAATGAGTAAGACTTTGGTTGTGATTAGGAAACTAGTTTAGAACTAGTATAAATACACCCTCCTCCTTCACAATTCAGAGACTAATTTTTAAGATTCAGTATTACCAGTTTATTTCCATGCGAAGAGATTTCCTAGCCTTTCTCTTAGGGAAATCTAATCGTTCTTTCGGAAAGGAGAAATCACGTGGATACCAAAGGTCAAGGATTATCACCGCTAGGTTGGAAGATCTGTAAGTTCTAACTCATATTTGTTATTATTATCATATTCGTTATTTTGTCATAATCAGGGAAGATCTGTTTGGGAAAATTTCAAACTTCCGCTGCCGTACTTTCGAGATACGTTACATCAATATTGCTGGTCCCAATTTTTAACTCTAATAACTTGTTGTTGGAGTAATTCGGCCGGATAAACCTACAGAAGCGTTAGAAAATAATAATATAGCTCGTTTCGCGTAAACGCTGTCCTCAAGAAAGTATTTCCGACTAGCGAAAACCTTTCCACAAGATAAAACGAGCTCTTCGGCTTACGCCGGTAACAGAACAATGAGAGCAATGTTCTAAAATTCACTAGGCGCTAGTCGGACGGTCAAGCACCGCCTAGCGCCTAGGCGGACTAGGTGCCGATTAGTCGCCGACTAGGCGGCCAACTCGGTTTCAACATAATACCAAAAAATATAAATACTCTTGACAAAAAATACTACCATAAACAAATAAAGTTTAAGTTTTAAACATGATAAATATATTGCATATTACCTAGTCTGATAATTAATAAGTTAGGACTGCTAGGTTTACAATATTTAAAACATCACAATGAGCTTACAAGGTTTTAAATCAATTGCTAGAGTATTATAAAAGATAATAGTACTTAAATGTAAATACACCATGATCACAAGAGTTTATTGAGATAGCAGGACATATAAGAACTTTATTTTTGTATGCTCTATGCCTCTATACTAACTTGAGTGCAGTTGAAACCAAAGCAGTTAACAACTATAGACTAAATAGTACGAACTACGAAGTATAATGTAATGTTTTAGGTCAACTCCCAAGCAACACTATGGCATTTGGATCATTTATAAACAAAATCAGGGGATGTAGAAACCATTTTTATTTGGGATCATTTTTGTTGGCATGCAGCTATAGTTGTACCATACATCCACAAGGTCAACTGTTGATTTCCATCACCCCCAATTAGTCTGTTATAGTACAAAAAAGTAGCTAGCAGCATTTCCCAATGTAAGGCTTTCAGCCAATGTGTTATTCCCACAGCAGATGAGGCAAACATTTTAAAGGCCTTTATTCCAATGTGTTCTTAAGTGCCCGTGTACTGAACATGGTTCTACTTTGTGCAGACAATCATTCTTAAATCACAAAGCATAGAAATAAAAATTCTTCACTGGCATGGTATAAAAATTCTGCATTAAACCAGGCATGGTATTTATCTAAAAATTGTACTAAGGATCAAAAAGACTGTGAGTAATTCTTCCATTATCAGAGAGCATGGAATATTAATGTGAATATTTGTAATTTATACATACCTCTACTTGGCATTCACATACCCCACTATTACAATCAATGAAGTACTTATATAGGTTCAGAAGCTTAGTAGTCCATTTCCCTTTTCCAATAGATTACTTTCAAAGGCATTTAATAAGATAGCTATAAGCTTTAAGTGAGTACAATGCTCAATCCAAACTTTAAAGTTTATGCTAACCAAATATCACAAATCATCTCAAAGTGAAGGTGTGACTAAATCATGTGTTTTTTAAGCTTACAAGTCCATTTTCAAGTGAAGTAGAAACCAAGGCAGTCAACAACTACAGGCTAGTAAATAGTACTACCCTGTCCCAAAATAGTACTACAGTAAATGCACACTTTGGTCTATATTAGAAAATCTCAAAATCCTAAAGCAAATTTGGAAGAAGTGAAACCTTTTTTCAAAAATCTCAAAATCCTAAAACAACAAGGAAAGCAACTCTAACCATCAAGCTCTTTTTTCTTTCTGAGGTAAAATCCAAAAATGAACCAAGGTAATTTCCACATTTGAGCTAAATGGAACAAAAAATGAATGCAGGGCTCTTTACCAGTTTATTGATGTCAAGCCTCAAGAATAAAAAACTTTTAATACAGCATACTCATAGCAAGCATATGACATGTTTTGAATACCAGAATAAGAAAATTCCTTTTTCTTTGTGATACCAATGCTAATGATAGAAATACAAATTAATGGTTGGGACTTCAGTGGAAATTTAAATTAATAAAAACAAACCAAAAAGACTAGGGAATAAGTGAATAACACCACTGAAAAACAAAGTAATTGAAATAAATTACTAGTTAAAGTTTTCATTTATTCTTTGAGGAATTTTATCAAACACCATAGCTTCATTCCAAATTCCTATCAATATTAGGCAATAAATTTTTCAATCTACATATAAACTATCTCTTAAGTATATGTCTCAAGAAAATCGAGATATTCTCAAACTATCTTAAAAACAACCTAACAAGTAAGTGGAGTAACTATAATAATATAACGAAAATATCTTTACCTGGATGTTGGACGCTGGAGAGTCTTGCTGGACACCGGAGAGTGTTGCTGGACACTAGAGAGTGCAGAAGATGATTCAATACTCAACAAAGAAGGGAGTCGTGAAATGGAAGAGAAGAAGGCCCATCACCCGGCCGCAGTTCCATCGAAGAGAATGTCAGATTAGGTCTGGAAGTAAAGAGACGCAGCTATAGGAGTCGTCCTTGTCAAGGGCAGTAAAAAAAGTAAAAAAACGCAGCTATTTTTAAAAATGTCTGGGGCTACTATAGGAGTATATGGGTCTAGGCCCCAGAACCCACATACTCAGAAGAACAGGAAGCACAGCCACTACGCGGTGCCCTCGTCGGCCAAAGACCCTCGTCGGCCGACGAAGGACCAACTCAGAATATGATCCTGAGGCCAAGGAACCAGGGTGCCCTCATCGGTCGTGCCCTCGTCGGCCACGGAAGTCTCACAGAACCGGATTTTACACTTATTCATTTATATAACCCACCAGTGGCTTTGTATTCAGCCCAATAGCGGTCCAGTTGTAAATGGGCCTCCCAAGCCCAAGGCTTGGGAGCCCAGCCCGTATTTTTCCTATAAATACTTCCTCTGGAGGTAGTTATGGGGGTTACAAAATCATTCTATTGAAGCATTACTTGCACTTCTCTCTCTAGCTCTCACTTCTCTCTAGATATATACTCTATCATTTGGTGCTCTCGTTGAGAGCTAGAACAATCAAGTTAGCACCCTTCGTCGCTACCAAGCACAGCTAACCACTGACCATGGGAAGAACTAAGTCAAACCGCAACCTCGTCAGCAAGGCCATCCCTGAGGATCAGGAGACCAGGGAGCATGAAGAGGACGCTACGGCCGACCAGGTCGGCGGAGGAGACGTCTTCCAGGAGGCCATCAACCTCACGACGGACCTCCGCAACCAACTCAACGGCGGAGCCCCTGATGCCCGCATCGACCTGGACAAGAAACGAGCTGAGAAGACAGACCACGACCCGGCCCAGCCTATGGCCGCGGCTTCTCCGTCTGTGGATCCACAGGTCCAGGCCGCGTTGTCGGTCATCATCGCCAGCTTGGCCCAGAACCCCACCGTCCTCAGCGCACTCTTGCAAAGGACTGGGGGGAATGTCACCCCACCTCCTCAGCCCCAACCGTTGGCCGTCAGGTTAGGCAACGATGAGGGGGTGATGGCCCAGGACACGGCGTCGTCCCATTCCCACCCTGCTTCCCCTCTTCGGCCTGGGCAGACCCCAGCGTGTGGAAAAGCCTCTGCCTTCAATAGGCTAAGTGACATGCGCCGTCGTCCGGTTTCGGAAAGGATGGCAGGGCGGATTGGTGAGCGTCGGCCTGGCTCGCCAAGGGAAAGCTTGGGGTCTGTGCCCGGACAGCGGACCAGCCCCGCCTGGACAAGGGCAAAGGAAAGTTGCACGAGGACGACGTGCGCCACCAGATCAACGCGGCCCACGACGAGCGCATGAAGAACCAGCAGGGCGCCGCTGCGGCCGCTAGGGATCCCCGGGACGAGGTCATCGCCCAGCTGGAAAGGAGGCTGCCCTAGATGGAGGCCAGGCAATCGGCAAATGTCCCTACGTCCGGCGCCTCCAACGACCCTTGCCTCAACGCCCTCATGAACAAAGTCAGCGCCCTTGAGAGGGAGTTGGCCGAAGGGCGAGGTGACCCCGTCATCCACGTCAGGACTAGGATCCCTTTCACTAACAGGGTGCTCTCGGCTCCCATCCTGGAGAAGTACAGGGGAACACCATCAAGTCCTACGATGGCCGATCAGACCCCCAGGAGCACTTCAACGCTGATGGTGAACGCGTCGGATGAATATCTCTGCCGTTGGTTCCTCTCTACTCTCGAGGGGCCAGCGTACGAGTGGTTCAACGCGCTTCCCGAAGGAAGTATTGACTCATGGCAAGACCTTGCCCAGCGCTTCCTCACCCATTTTGCCGGGAGGAAGCGTGCGAAGAAGTATTTCACTCATCTCCTCTCCATCAAGCAGCAACATGACGAACCCCTCCAATCATTCATTGATCGGTGGACGAGGGAGACCGAAGAGGTCGAGGGGGCCGATGAGCGCACCCTCCTCATCCTATACCAGGGAGCCCTCCGCAGCTCCCCGTATGCAAAGGCGCTCCAGCACGGGAGCTTGTACGCTGACGCCGACGAGCTCCACAACCACAAGAAAGAGGGAGGCCATCCCTCCAAGAAGACAAATCCTTCGCCGGCCCCGGGACCATCCACGGCCGGCCAGGGTGCCTAGGACCGTCACGGCTCTGGTGGACAAAGTAAGAAAGACCGCCACTGGCGGCCGAGGTTGGAACGACCGAGGTCCCCCTCACCCACCCGGTCAGCACCATCCTCGACTACGCCGAGAAGCATGGCCTCATTGAGCAAGCCCCTCGGCCAACCGAGGAGGTCCTTGCCATCCAGCAAGGCGGCACATACTGCCGATTTCACAAGAACTCCTCACACAACACCGACGACTGCATCACGCTGAAGAAAGCCATCGAGCGCCTTATTCGTTAGGGGGAACTCTCCCAATTTGTTAAAGGTGGCCCGCGCAAAAATACGTGGGTAAACACCGGCAAACCTGGGGGTGAACCCTCTACGAAGAAGCGGGAGATCGGCAGGCTCAGCGATGACGAGGACTTTGAAGAGCCTCCGCCAAAGAAGAATCATATTCACCTCATCGTAGGTGGGAATACCGGGGGGACTCTGTCACCCAAAGGAAGAAATGGGCCCAATCCCTTTACATCGGGGAGGTGTCCCACGTTCCCCCCCCCCCAGCCGAAGAAGCAACGAACGGAGGCAATCACCTTCACCGACAAAGATCTGCCTCCGGGTACGGAATCACACAGGGACGCCCTCGTCATCCGGTGTGAGATCGGTGACTCCATCATCCACCGCACTTACGTAGATACGGGGAGCTCCGTCAACGTGATGTACCTGGACACCTTCAGGCAGCTAAATCTGGACAAAGCTCTGCTGAAGCCGATCAAGACACCGTTGTCCGGCTTCACCGGGGACTCTATCGATGCCGAGGGCACGATAGTCCTCCCCATGGAGGTCGGCGACGACCCCCACCGCGCCAAAATTGACATGGAGTTCATGGTGGTGAACCTCCAGTGCGCCCACAACCTGATCTTGGGGCGGCCAGCACTGGAGGACTTGGAGGCCATCATCTCCATGAAGCACTTGTGTCTGAAGTTCCCCACCAATGGCGGCATCGGCTACGCTAGAGGAAACCAGAGGATAGCCAGAGCATGCTACCTCAAGCTGACGAGGCCGGCCGAGAGGGAAGGACAGAGGATAGACACCATCACAGCAGCCGTTGCCAAGGACGAGGAGAGGCCGTATGCCGAACCGGCCGAGGAGGTCGAGGAAGTCCCTCTGGATACCTCCCGGCTAGAGCGGGTCCTCAAAATCGGGAAGCAACTCCCACAGGACCAACGGGACGCCATCTTCCTCGTCCTACGGTCATACGCCGTTATCTTCGCGTGGTTCCCGGACGACATGCCAGGCATCAGCCGACAGGTGATCACCCACCGGCTGACCGTCGATCCAGCCTCCGCGCCTGTCAAGCAGAAGCAGCGCTACTTATCCGCCGATAAGCGGGACTTCGTCAAAGGGGAGGTCGCCATGCTCCTCTCAATCAACCACATCAAAGAGGTGAAGTACCCGACGTGGCTAGCCAACGTCGTCCTCGCCCAAAAACCGCCGACATTCAGAATGTGTGTTGATTACACTGACCTGAACAAGGTGTGCCCCATGGACCCGTTCCCTCTCCCCAACATTGATCAGTTGGTGGACGAGACGGCGGGATGCGAGTTGATGTCGTTACTTGATGCTTTCAGAGGGTACCACCAAATTTTCATGCATGAAGACGACGCTGAGAAGACGGCATTCATGACCCCGGAGGGAATTTTTTGCTACCTTGTCATGGCTTTCGGGCTCAAAAACTCCGGTGCCACCTACACCAGGATGATGGCCAAGATCTTTAGAGCAGTCCTCGGCCGGACGATGGAGGCATACGTCGACGACATGATTGTCAAGAGCAGGCAAGCCACCGCACATGCTGACGACCTCCGGGAAATTTTTGAAATCATGAAGGAGTTCAAGCTCCGCCTCAACCCCAAGAAGTGCGCCTTCGGCGTCCAAGGCGGCAAGTTCCTCGGCTACATGGTCAGATGGAGAGGCATCGAGATAAATCCGGAGAAGACACAGGCTATCATCAACATGGAGCCGCCCCGTAATGTCAAGGAGGTACAACGGCTGACGGGGCGCCTGACGGCCCTGAGCCGTTTCCTCTCCAAGTCAGCCGAAAGGGCACTCTCTTTCTTCCAAATCATGCGCAAGGCAAGCAGCTTCAAATGGACGACAGAGTGCCAGGAAGCATTTGAAGAACTGAAGAGGTACCTTTCGTCCCCACCAGTTCTCTCCAAGCCCAAAGCCGGCGAAACCCTCTTTTTGTACTTAGGGGTGAGCACGTCGGCCGTCAGCTCCGTGCTCATCCGTGAGGACGAAGGGGTGCAGAAGGCCATTTTCTACATCAGCAAAACACTTAGGGAGGCCGAGCTCAGGTACTCCCCCATTGAGAAGACGGTGCTAGCCATTGTCCATACGGTGAAAAAGCTAGGGCACTACTTCCAGGCCCATGCCGTCCATGTACTGACCCAACAGCCCCTCGGTGCACTCATGAGGAGCCCCACTAGCTCCTCCAGGATGGTGAAATGGGCGATCTTCCTCAGCCAATTTCAGATCGAAATCAAGCCAAGGCCATCTATCAAAGGGCAAGCCTTGGCCGACTTCGTCACCGAATGCACGGCAAGGGAAACAACCGCTGTCACTCCCGGGCCAGAACCCGATGACACATGGATCCTCTTCACCGACGGCTCGTCGACCGCGAAATCATGTGGCGGCGGCGTCGTCCTCATATCCCCTGAAGGATTCAGAGCTTACTATGCCATCCGTTTCAACTTCCAGGTATCTAACAATGAAGCCGAGTATGAGGCCCTCCTCAGCAGCCTCAGACTCGCTGCCGGCCTCAGAGCCCGACACATCAGAATCAGGTGCGACTCCAAGCTGGTAGTGGGCCAGGTTGAGGGAACGTACGAAGCAAAGGAAGGCCAGATGAAGCAATACAAACAGGCGGCAGAGGAGTTGCTAAAAGCATTCGAAACCCACGAGATCACACAGATCCCAAGGGCCGAGAACGCCGAGG